GCTTAGTAAATCTCCCCCCCATGGGAATCATGGGTTGTTTTGGATCAAAGAAAACTTTGATTATTTGTCTATCTACACCTTCCAAATTGATTAATTAATGCGTGCACGCTTTCCCTAGAAGTAATTCACACCGGAGACAAAGTTTCTGATCAGTGAAAAACCCAGGAATGCTTTATTGCCCGGAGTGGGGGCTCCTTCTTAAAGCAAAAATACGTCACAGTTTAAACATACAGTATACATTCACCAATTGGTTAACAGAGAAGGGGGCCTCTTGTTTAAACCCCCCTACAGAATGTAGTGTCATCATTACACACTTTTAGATACACGGAGAAAGGGGGAGTGAGTGGTATCTATCAGTTCTAAACCAATGATCCTCCATTTAGCTATATATGGCATATAGCTGTTAACTGGCACAAAGGGGAGGCTAGCAGGATGTGAGGAATTTACATAGTAAACAGCAGCTGACCACATTGTAAGGGGGGGGAAGGGAACATTTACTCTAGAAGCCAGTTTTAACATAGTGAACAGAGAATAAATAGACATTAGTAAATAGCCATTTTATTTTAATTCATCTGTCCATAACAGTCCCCCCTTAAAATGGCAATTTTTACTAAAACTACTATCTCTCATTCTAATACTGTCCCTATAGAAAAATAACAAAAGGCTATCTTGCACATCTGTCTGAACAGGCCTCGAACACTTCACTGCGCGGGTACCCCATAGCAGCTTGTCCACTACTTCTCCCGCGGCAGACTTCTGCCCGTAGAGACAGACGCTATCCCTAAATGTCCTTAAGAGGAAGTAGCTGTTGATTTAGTGCGGTGGGACTGTAAGGGTGTATGTGGTGTATCACGGTCGATATCGTCAATCTCTTGGTGAAGGAAGGTCGGGGTGGTCTGGTCGATTGCCTGATCAACTGTTTTTTGTAGGCATTTCTTAAGACAGGGTAACACACAACAAACAAGAAGAGCGAGGATGATTATCGTTATTAAAATGGCAACACCTATTTGGGCCAGAGCACCTTGCCATTCAGACATCCATCCAAACCATCTTTCCCATGGATCTGTGGCCCCAGAATTTCGTTTCAGTTCATTGGACAAACTCTTTAACTTTTCTATTGCCAACGTTACCTTACCATTAGGGCCTGTATTATCTGGAATATAGGTACAGCATGTCATGGTGTCTGGGAGTATTTTACATACTCTCCCTTTTTCTGCTAAAATCATTTCCAAGCTTATTCTATTCTGGAAGGTCATCTGAGAGATAGTTTGTAACCGCCCTATCCCACCATATATCCCATAACAAGTATAGTTCCCGGGCTATATAGTAATGCCTTCGTCTGGGTTAATATTTTTAGTAATGATTGGGTATTAAGTTTCCATGACTCGCATGCTGACCGCTTAGGTTTAAATACAGTGTAGAGACTTAAAACGCATACTTCATATCCGGAGGAAGGTTCAGGGATACTGTACCTGGGTGAGGCCTCGCTCCTCTGCAGACATAGCAGTTAGACTTGTTATGTTTAGTAGCATTGTATTTCATCCATTCAAGTCACAAGTTAGTGTCAGAGAAACCTGTCTCTACAGCCCTCTTATCCTCAAATATGGGATGACTACCATGTCTTTTAAAGTCCTAATGTGTGGTTTGAGGGGATTAACAGTCATGTGCGTGGCACCTACCCATTCAGCTGAGTCATACATGTCCTGTAAGAAAAAGGTCTCCTGTTTATTGTATAAACCTCTTCCCTTCCAATTCAGATTTTATTAGCCGTAATGCTTGGGAGAATAGATTCAAACTTAGTTTCTTACCTTAAAATTATTTGGTACCCCCCTTGACACCCCTATGGCATTAATATACATATATATATATATGTGTGGGTAAAACCACCCTTTATAGGGGTACTCCTTTTTGTCCTGAAGCATGAATGAGGTGTGTCAAGAGTACCTTGGGGATTGTCATGTGTTATGTGTATGGACATAATAACCTAGGCTAGGGCACATTTACTTATTCTTAGAAATCTTGTCTCATGCTACCCTAGTACTGGCAGATTCAGATCATTTAAACATTCAATATTAATATCACCACAAACTCAAGATAAGCAGATGATCTTGAAGAAGCTTTGACTGTGCGTATGGCACCTCAGACGTGAGGGCTGCAGGGTAAGGAGTATGTTTGTTTCTCTTTAGTTTCACGAGGTCCCCTTTTGGGGTATTCAGCTTTCCATCGATGGCAGGTGGTCAGGCATTATTATGGCCATCAAAACACCCACTTGTTGATATTTATTTATTTATTTTCAACAAGTATCTTTGTTCTCTAAGAATGGAGTTTCAAAAAGGGTTGTCAAGATCAACAAATGTTACTTCACATGATGCAGAGGCAGGCTTGATTCTGGAATGATGAACCCACGGGGTGATCTCTGTATCTTTCACGGTGCACTACTCAGCATGTGGTCTTGGTTATCACTTTGGTGGCTGGATAGGCCTCTGGCCATCCTGAAAACATGTCTGCTATAATTAGTGCATATTTGAATCAGCCATTCTTTGGCATTCTGGCGACTTGACTCCTCTGGAAGAGATAATGAGGTTTGGCTAGATGCTTGGGGCTTTCATCCATTCTTCTTGAGTTGCCCTTGGCACAAATGGCACAAGATTTACAGTAACTGTTGGTCAGAGATTCAATTCCTGGTACTTCAGAGTATTTATTGATCAAAAGAGTTCATGAGGGTTCTGGACAGATGCTCCGTAGGCCCACTGGACCACTGCTGAGTATATGTTCTTGGGCAAGTATAACTTGAGATTGTTGAAGTACAGCCTGTCTTTAAGAGTTGCCCCTTTCTGTTTCCAGCTTGTGGTTTGTTTGTTTTCTTTCTTTCCAGGGTCAGTAGCTTGCTTGTTATTCCTTCGGGAGCTTGATGTCTGTGGGTAGGATCTTACATGGTGAATATGGGAGTTTCTTCAGCAGACACTTTTCTGTCCACTTCCCTTAGTGCACTTACAACTTTTTGAACAACTTAGTCAGCCAGAGAGCTGCCACATGCTTCCTCTGAGTTCAGTCTTCCTTCAGAGATCTTGCATGGTGTGATGGGAGTCTATAGCTCAGCTTCTTGTGCAGACATTGTTGAGGTGAGATACTTGGTCCACTGTAGTGACAGCAAATCCGGAACAGAACATAAGAAAAAGGCTAAAAAAAAAAATAATAGTCAGTGTCTTATCATTTCCCCCCTTGGGAAGTGGCAGAAGAGTGGCCAGGTAAATAGAGTATCATCCCTGCAGGGTGACATTATCCTGCACAGAATTCGTCCATCACAAGGAGAGGTGGGATATTGCATGGAAAGTCTCAGGTAACCAGGGCAACATTCGACACCAGAGCCTTAACCTGTTAGGGAATAGTAAGAGCTTGGACAGGCTTTGGGGCCTGTATAATTCAGGTAAAGGTATTGGGGGAACTAGCTAGGACCCTTGCCTCTTGGTCAGGTTTCACTGTGTGGAACAAAATAAATAATAAGGTGATAGGGGCCTGCAAGTGGGGGAAGGACATCTGCACCTAGCAGATTAATTGGACAGGTGAAGGTATCCACAAAGCAAGGCTTAGTTAACAGGCTACTCCAAGGAGAGCCATCTACACTTATGCAGGAGACAACAATGTTAGACAGGAATGAGGAGTCAGGCAGGCCTTGCTTGGTACAAATAGATGTCATGTGGCCTGCTATACAAGGCTGCATATAGTTATTGGGCATGGGCCTTACTATGTACTAAAACTTAAGTTAAAAGAAAATTTGGGACAACCTGAAGTGATGCTTCTCCACAGATGCTAACTCATCGTTGATGACATTGTTAATACAGGTAGCCTGATCAGCCAATTTATCTTAGGCTTAAACAAGTCACACCATGTAGTGGAATGGGTCATTAGGATTCGGGAAATTCTACAGTAAAAGGGCATAGTAAGGATGTACGCGATGTTACTTTAGGAGTAGGCGTGGCTGTGGATAGGGGGAAATCAGCCTTATCCATTCCCATATATTATTCCTTTTGTCTTCAGTATATCCAAACCATGTGTATGTCCAGGCGTTGCAATATACAGTAATCCATTATCAGTCATGATAGTAAAATCTCATTCTCATTAATTAAATCAAAGATTTTAAATCAACCTCAGAAGTAACAACATTGTTTTTACCTTCTGTAAAATGATTGGAGTTACTGTATAATTGCATACACCCAATATAACATACATTGCATGTTCCTCACTGCTACATTAGTGTATTTCATTCTGCCATATTTGCAAACTTGATGTACATTTTTATTTTAATTAATTAACCTAATACTTTCTTAAAATACATATAAAACAATGAAAAAAAACAGTTCAGACTAACATTTCATTAAAACAAACTAACATAGAACTCTATTCTTGGCTGTTCTTAATTCTGGAATCAGCCTGTGTACCTCTGTTGGCAGACATATCCATGCTCATTCCCTAAACTGATCATATCTCTTGAAGTTATCTGATTCTTATAACTTTCTGTGTTACGCTGCATTGCTTGTCTGTCCCCTAATTTCGATTTAGCTAAAATTGCTTTTATTTGTCTGATTATAAGTTTACAAGGAAAGGCTTTAATTGATTTATCTCCACATGTATTTTCTCTGTCAAAATTTTCAATCAACAAATTTAATTTCTCATTTGCTTTTGATTTGATATCTCGGATAAAATATCTGCAAGATCTTAAATAATGTTGTTTATTGCACCAAAAACAAATAACTTTAGGAGTTATATTCTGCCCTATATTATCAACTGCCCTATATTTAGTTGAATAAATTGGGAGGGGCTCAGCTGTCTGTATCACTCTACACTCTGTCCTAGAAGAAGAAGAAGAAGAAGAAGGGGGACGGGGGCTGTAACATCTGCACTTCTTTCTCTGCCTAAAGCCACAAGTCGTTTTAACCCCTTCATTCTTGGTTTCCCTCCTTAAGTTATCCAAGAACAAAGCTACTTCTGTCAAAGTGCTTTTTTCTCTAGCTACCACAATTGCAGTTGGATCTAGATCTTGAAATTTTTTCACAAATTCATTAATTAACTGATCTTCAGAAAAATCAGCAACAAGTCTATATGCATTTTCAAATTTTACAAGAAAACTAAATATATCCTCCCCCTTGTGTGGTTTTAGTTTTTCCAACATTTCAGTGTCTGCAAAATCATTCCCTGTTGTTAATTTTATTAATTGTGTTAATCTGTCTCGCTTATTTCCATATATTATTTCACCATTGTCCTCAAATTTTACAATCGCGGTCAGCCTACATGCCATTTGAGTCGGCAGCCATATTTGAAATAGTCTATTCCTTTGTTCGTCATTTAGGCTGTATTTGTCTAAATTAGACTCAAACATTTCAGCATTAGTGAATGCATCCACTGACGTGTCATAAACTGGAATACATTTCACAATTTTCATTAATTGTTCATGGATCTTCAAATTAAGTTTTGCAGCTCTGTCTTGAAATTTATATTTCTGCAAATCACTCTGTGAGGATACATTTTCAGTATCTATTGGTTCTGGGATTAGATTCTGTGCCTGTATTTTTCTTGTATTAACACACACTAGCTTTACTTCATTTCTAAGCTGGCAAATAAGATCATTTCTTAGTTCAACTCTATCCTCTAATTCACAAACTGTTTCTGACAATGTGCTCTCTGTTACATTGTTACACTGTTCATTTAAATCTGATTTGTCTTCTGTTAACCCATTCAAATCTACTTCTTTTTCTGATGATTCTAAATTTTCTTGATCTGCATTTCGTTTACAAATCAATGCATTGTAAGTACAGACTAGTTTCATAACATTTCTGATCTTTTGTTTTTTTTTTCTTATTAACAAACAATTTCTTGTCAATTTCACTATTGGCAATTTCACATTGTGTGTATAAAGATTGCCACAAAACAGCATCTGAATAGCTGCTATTAAATGCAAACTGCAATTTACTTTTCTCTGCGATATCATTTATAAATTCCACAATTCATTTGTTCCAACAAAATCTAACTTTCCTTATTCCAACATGCCAATAACCTCTTGCTTAACAACATATACAAGATTACACAAAGTTCCTAACTAGGTTATTCGTCCAGCAAATATACCTTGTTTCCCTCACATTCCTCACTGAGTTTACAAGCATTTCACCCATTCACCCCCCTGTAGCCAATACTCATAGCAGTCAGAGCAAGAGAAAGCAACAAAGAAGGAGGGGGGAGGAGGGAGGAAGACTTGCAAGCACAAAGTTTTTTAACCATGTGATTGCCTAAGCACAGCTCTCCTTAGGACAAAAGATAGAATAGGAGAGTAACGATACAAATTGTATAGATTACAATTAACATATATGGTACCCAACAAGACATACACAGACAAAAGCACAAAATACAGATGTAATTAAATCACAAAGTTCTTAAAATAAATGCCGGCTTATAATAAATCAAATCACACACACAGAAACACTCAAGCACATAAACCGCTCCTTTACCAAAGCTTAGCTATTTAAACTCTTGACCGAGTCTTAATAAAACAAAGGAACCGCCAGGTTTTTTACCAAACGAGGCCAAAACATCACTCACTAGCTTCTTTACCAAAGCTTAGCTAAAATATTTTTTTTTTTTTTTTTATTTTTTTTTTTATTTTTTTATTTTTTATTTTTAAACTCTTGACCGAGTCTCGCAATAACTTCTTTACCGAAGCTTAGCTAAAATAAATATAGAGCCAGGGGTTTTCCACCAAACCCGAACTTGGCTAAACCTGCAAGTGCTTAACCACACTTGGCAGCATTATATAACAGTATTAAGCAAGTAGTAAAACAGATTCTCAAACAGACACTTTCACACATAAAACTCACACTCAGGACTCAGGCTGTAGATAGACAAGTGACAGGTTCTATATAAAAGGGGACATTCGGGCATATATATATTACCTGTCTGAAGACGTTAAACACCGGAAGCCGAATGTGAAGGCACGGAGAACAAGAGAAATCCAAAGAAAGGAAAATATAGGTAAGTAACTCATTTACCATATGCAGAGGTGATCAGGCTCCGTTTCCAATCTCTGGGAATCCTTTGCTCTCCTGTCTTGGGATCTGACGGCTGCCTTAGTAACGTATCCCTTAAATGCCCGCATTCTCCACCAAATTGTTTTGGATCAAAGAAAACTTTGATTATTTGTCTATCTACACCTTCCAAATTGTTTAATTAATGCGTGCACGCTTTCCCTAGAAGTAATTCACACCGGAGACAAAGTTTCTGATCAGTGAAAAACCCAGGAATGCTTTATTCCCCGGAGTGGGGGCTCCTTCTTAAAGCAAAAATACGTCACAGTTTAAACATACAGTATACATTCACCAATTGGTTAACAGAGAAAGGGGGCTCTTGTTTAAACCCCCCTACAGAATGTAGTGTCATCATTACACACTTTTGGATACACGATGGGAGGGGGAGTGAGTGGTATCTATCAGTTCTAAACCAATGATCCTCCATTTAGCTATATATGGCATATAGCTGTTAACTGGCACAAAGGTAGTGGGGGGGGGAGGCTAGCAGGATGTGAGGAATTTACATAGTAAACAGCAGCTGACCACATTGTAGGGGGGGAAGGGAATATTTACTCTAGAAGCCAGTTTTAACATAGTGAACAGAGAGACAGAGAATAACAATAGACATTAGTAAATAGCCATTTTATTTTAATTGCATCTGTCCATAACACTTCAACCTGTTCCCCCATCTCCAGCATTTTTCTACTTATATTCTGATTACTGACATTTAAAAAAAAAAAAAAAAAGTTGTGAGCTTTTATCAATTAATGTTTCCTAGCACATCTGCTAAGATGTCCTTCATCGCATTGTCCAGCTTCAAGAATGACTGTGTTTGCTCTAGACATATTGTGATTAAGATATTGCATAAAAGTTTCATTGCAAAAATTGAATAAAGCAGTAAACAACTAGTATTCGATGACTATGAGAAAGACAGAAGTGAAAAAGATCTGCTGGTATTTACTACCACTTTCCATACAAGAAAATGTTTATATTGTCATAGACAAATGTTTGTACCAAGAACAGTAAAACATATGGAATTTAATGCATTGCTTGTGTCAAATTTAGCAAGTATCTATGACAGTATAAAGTTAAATGCAGACAAGTGTTACTGTTTTTGAGTCTATACGTAATTTTTTAACCTGTGAAACTTTGAGCAACACCAGCACGTTTTTTTTTATACTTCATTACCTCAGATGTTGTGTTTTCCATCAAACAACTAGACTTACTCTTGGCTAACTGTATTTAATATAAGAGCAAGTAATTTAAAGATAAAGAAAAGCATTTGGTTTAAAATGGAGACAAACTGGGCAGATATCAGGAGACATAAATAAAAACATCTGGTATGGTATTTCCATATTACACAATATTGGGTATGGATGGATATAGGTTTGCAGATGTTAACTACACACTATGAGCATCCTCCAAAGTAGTATTTTAGTGGACATAATATAATATTAAAAACATTGTAGCAATAATAATTTACATTAAAATTTATTGTTTTGTAAAATTAAAATAATAAAAATCAGCCCTCCCGTGTTTCTGTTAGACTATTAGCTCCACATTTGCTAACTGTCATATCCAATTCAGATCTCAACCAGTTTCCTTTGAAACCATCAGAGTGGAGCAACAATTCAGTTCATAATTATTACTTTAGCTTTTCAATTTAGTTTTATCAGAAATACAAACATTGTATAACATGTATAGTGTTACAAACACCTAGCCCCTCCCCCCTTTTGTCAAATATAGCAATTTTAATTTCATTCCAGTTCCACTGGTCTGCTATCTGCCCTTTCTGAATGTATCAATTATTAAAGATGTAGAGGCAGATCAGGGGAAGAGCCAGCACAAGCCAAACAGCACTGGAAACATAGAACTCCCCTCATAAAACATTTAATCAACAATGAGAAGTTCAGTGTAGCGCAGTGTATGCACTGAATGGGCTCTGCACAACATGCAGCAAGCCATGCAGCCTGCCCTAGAAAGCACATCTAGTAGCCATTAGAGGGTGGCCAGTGGATGTATCCCTAGGCTGTAATGTAAAAAGACAGTGTTTACTGCAAAAATCCTGAAGTGAATGATTATACTCACCAGAACAAACATAATGTGCAGTAGTTGTTCTGGTGACTACAGTGTCCCTTTAATTAAACTGCTTAAAGGACTTGAGCCACCAGTTGCCATCTTGCCATATATCATTGAAAAATGCTTTCATGCATTAAGGCAGGGATGTCCAAAAGGTAGATCACCAGATGCCAACTACAGTTTCCATGATGCTTTGTCTGTCTAAATCATACTAAAGGCATGCAAAGCATCATGGAAGTTTAAATGGACACAATAGTCACCAGAACAACTACAGCTTATTGAATTTGTTCTGGTGAGTAGAATCATTACCTTCAGGCTTTTTGCTGTAAACACTGTCTTTTTAGAGAAAAAGCAGTGTTTACATTACAGCTTAGTGATAACTTCACTGGCCACTCTTCAGGTGGCTGTTAGAGATCCTTCCTGGGTCATGGCCGCCTAAAATGCATCCAAACATTCAGTATCTCCTCCCTCTGCATGCAGACACTGAACTTTCCTCATAGAGATTCATCTCTATGAGGCGATGCTGATTGGCCAGGGCTGTGTTTGAACCATGCTGGCTCTGCCCCTGATCTGCCTCTTTGTCAGTCTCAGCCAATATTATGGGAAGCACTGAGTTGGATCAGGCCACCACTTCTGATGATGTCAGCAGATAGCTTGTTTTTCAGAGGCAAACAGCATGCAGATCTACAGCTTTAGGCTTGAATATAGTAAGATTGCTATATTTATGGAGGCATGAGGAGTCCAAGGGGGCTGATGGTGGTTTTAACACTATAGGGTCAGGAATACTTGTTTGTATTCCTGACCCTATAGTGATCCTTTAATGCACAATAGTTGTGGTGGGACAAAAATGCAAGCAAGCTAAACACAATGAGCCTGAAAGGGTTAATTGTTTTAAACAACAGTACAAGGAATGTGATCAATGCACTTAATGAATAAATAATATTAAATTAATAGCAGCTATAATACTCTGTGGATACTTCTTAATGTTTAGGTGATCAACCCCACAAAAAATGTGAGTGAAACACTGATAGAGCAAATTACACTGTGGTATAAGTCTAGTTTTTCAGCACATTTTTTGTGCTTAAAAACCCCCACTCGACTTATACTCGAGTCACTGTCTGTATTATGGCAACTTAGAGAGCCGCGGCCGTCAGTGCCATGGCAACGACCGCGCGGCAACCAGACCGCGAGTCTTATGTGAGCTGACCGGAACGGTGGAGAAGGGAGCTGACAGCTTGCAGGAAAGCCAAGTTCACAGCTGCCATGCCACTGGACCACCAGCCCAGATGGACCTACTCACCTGACCAGTTAGCCCCCCTCCCATTTGTATACCAGTTAACAAGCATGAGGGAGGGGGGATCCAGCATAAAAATAATAAAAAAAATAATAAATAAAATAATAAATTTATGAATTCCATAAATTGTATACTCCTGTATAAATATCTTGAGTACAGAATTTCATAGCCCCAAGTTTTACCCTCGACTTATCCACGAGGCATAGCATATTTCACAATTGTTGGTCACAAAACTGCACTCGACTTATACTCAACTTATACACGAGTATATATACCCCTTCATACACCTGGGTAGAATGAACGTATGACAAACAAACAAAACAAAAACAATAGCGCAATATTGTATATATGTATGTGTATATAGGGGTGTCTTTTTACACAGACAGGCTCAAAAAAAAAAAACTGATATGCCTTTAAGCTTGGACAGTTATATGGCATGTACCTCCAGCAGTGTTTGAGATGAAAAATAAAAATGGAGAGCAAACTTGGTGCAGTATTATAGACACAATATTTCATATTTAAAAGATGTATGCTCATAAATAGGAACACATACATTACTGGTTTAAAGTATTGTAGGTATGGTGTCTTTTTGCAAATCCAAGAATATTTTCACTACTAACTCAAAGGAATAATTCCATTAAGAACAGTCAATAACAGATCTGATCTTGGTCATCATAGTAAAACTATTCCAGGCGACACCAGATCCTCAGGTCTGGCTGGTAAGCAAAGTAAACATCCTGGGCACACATACACCTTCCACACAGTGATAATATCCTATTTTATACAGTATTCACAAAAGTGAGTACCCCCCTCACATTTTTGTAAATATTTTAATATATCTTTTCATGTGACAACACTGCTGCAAAACAAGTAAACAATGTAAAGTAGTAAGTGTACAGCCTGTATTGCAGTGTAAATCTGCTGTCCCCTCAAAATAACCCAAAACACAGCCATTAATGTCTAAACCGTTGGCAATCTGCTGTCCCCTCAAAATAACTCAACACACAGCCATTAATGTCTAAATCGTTGGCAACAAAAGTGAGTACACCCCTAAGTGGAAATGTCCAAATAGGGCCCAAAGTGTCAATATGTTGTGTGGCCACCATTATTTTCCAGCACTGCCTTAACCCTCCTGGTCATGGAGTTCACCAGAGCTTCACAGGTTGCCACTTAAGTCCTCTTCCACTCTTCCATGACGACATCACGGAGCTGGTGGATGTTAGAGATCTTGCGCTCCCCCACCTTCCATTTGAGGATGCCCCACAGATGCTCAATAGGTCTGGAGACATGCTTGGCCAATCCATCACCTTTACCTTATGCTTTTTTAGCAGGGCATTGGTCGTCCTGGTCGTGTTTTTGGGGTCGTTATCATGTTGAAATACTGCCCTGCTGCCATGTCTCCGAAGGAAGGGGATCATGCTCTGCTTCAGTATGTCACAGTAGATGTTGGCATTCATGGTCCCCTCAATGAACTGTAGCTCCCCAGTGCCGGCAACACTCATGCAGGCCCAGACCATGACACTCCCACCACCATGCTTTACTGTAGGCAGGACACACTTGTCTTTGTACTCCTCACCTGGTTGCCGCCACACACGCTTGACACCATCTGAACCAAATAAGTTTATCTTGGTCTCATCAGACCACAGGACATGGTTCCAGTAATCCATGTCCTTAGTCTGCTTGTCTTCAGCAAACTGTTTGTGGGCTTTCTTGTGCATCACCTTAAGAAGAGGCTTCATTATGGGACAACAGCCATGGAGACCGATTTGATGCAGTGTGCGGCGTATGGTCTGAGCACTGACAGGCTGACCCCCCACCCCTTCAACCTCTGCAGCTATGCTTGCAGTACTCATACGTCTACAACCTCTGGATATGACGCTGAGCACATGCACTCATCTTCTTTGGTCGACTATGGCGACAGCTCAGTTTCAGGGTCTTGGCAATCTTCGTCTAGCCTAGGCCATCTTTATGTAGACCTCAGAGAGTTCTTTGCCATGAGGTGCCATGTTAAACTTGCAGTGACCAGTATGAGAGAGTGTGAGAGCGATACAACCAAATTGAACACACCTGCTCCCTATTCACCTGAGACCTTGTAA